TAAATAATAAATATATATATATATATATATATATATATATATATATATTTTTTTTTTTTTTTATATATATATATTAATTAATAATAATAATAATAATAATAATAATACTGCTAATACTAATAATAACCACAAACAAATATAAATAAACAATGTATTTTTTGGGTCTTATTGCATTTGAAAAGTTTAATTCCTTTACTAAAACTTTTCAGCACTAATATCATAAACAGAGCTCAGTTGTGCACACAGAGTCCTAGAATGTCTTAAACATGGCCAAACTATGAAAATACTATGACATATTTACAAAAACATCCTCAGAAATGGATTTCCCAGAATGATTTTGACCATATAATGGAATATGATTCTGGGAAAACCAGGCGTTTCTCTTCCAACCAGCTCCTGCTCAACAACATGAGAGTGTGTGTGTGTGTGTGTGTGTGTGTGTGTGTGTGTGTGTGTGTGTGTAGTCAAATATTGGCAAAATAACCTGCAGTTCCACCGACTGCCAACAGTAGGCGACAGACACAGCCAGAAACCGCACTTCAGTTTGTGTTTTCGGAGAAATTTAGCAATACTCCATCTCATTTTAATGTGAATATGTGAAAATAGTACAGTAACACGAAGTATTAGATAATTAATAATAAATAATGACAAATTATTTCAACAAAGTGGTATTAAATGAACAACAGACATCCCTTTATCATGTTGTATTGCTTTATCATGTACTGTTGTTTATATTTATTAGATCTGACCTCATCTTTCTGTTGGAAAGCATGCATGCTATTTTTGATGGATTAAAAATTAATTATGTGAACTATATCGCATGCATGCATTCAGATCACTTATGTACATGTCTACTAAAATAAATGTCAATTAAATTACTGTAAAAATTCGGAAATATTATTTTAATTTAGAAGAACTGTTTCTCTCACGACTGTGGTTTATAACCTGATTATTTAGCTGTAATGTAAATATGATTTTTTTAGCATTATTTCAGTGTCACAGTCCTTCAGAAATCAGCAAAATATGATTTAATGATCAAGAAACATTTATTCATTCTCCTTCGCTTAGTCTCTTATAAATCAAGGATCGCCACAGCGGAATGAACCGCCAACTATTCCAGCATATATTTCTCACAGTGGATGCCCTTCCAGCTGCAACCCAGTGCTAGGAAACAGCCATATACACACTCATTCACACACATACACTACAGCCAATGTAGTTGATCAGTTCCCCTATACCGCATGTGTTTGGACTGTGGGGGAAACCAGAGCACCCGGAGGAAACCCATGCCAACACAGGGAGAACATGCAAACTCCACACAGAAATATAAATATATAATATTTTTTTTACTTTTAATATAATTTTGATCAAATGAATTTATTGTTGATGGTTATAATTAATGATGATTGATTAATGACTGATGAAAAGTAATTTCAGTTTTATTTCAAGTATTTTATTATTCTAATATTTGTATGTAATGTACATTATAACATTTATTCTATTCACTGATTTTATTTTTTAACAATATGTCTGCAGAAACATCAGTAAAGCTCTGCAGATTGTGTCTGGCTCTGTCTCAGAGTAATAATAACAGCAGGAGTGTTGAACTGATCTGAATGTTTCTCACCTGTAAGATGTTTTTGCCATTGAAAGCTTCTCGATCTCGAGGGTTTGCTCTGGCTGGAGCTCCTCTGTCCTCCACTGAGAGAAACACACAGCAGATCACACAGATGAACACACACACTCTACCTCATCAACACAAACACAGCAGATCACACATATGAACACACACACTCTACCTCATCAACACAAACACAGCAGATCACACATATGAACACACACACACTCTACCTCATCAACACAAACACAGCAGATTACAGATGAACACACACACACTCTCCCTCATCAACACAAACACAGCAGATCACAGATGAACACACACACACTCTCCCTCATCAACACAAACACAGCAGATCACACAGATGAACACACACACACTCTCCCTCATCAACACAAACACAGCAGATCACACAGATGAACACACACTTTGTAAGTATATTTGTCTATGTTTGTGTGTGTGTGTGTGTGTTTGTGTTTCTGTGTGTGTTTAAACTTTAAAGATCCCTTGAGACTAAAATAAAAGTTATTTCGATGTTAGTTTAAGGATATCTACAAGCTAAAAACGAAATATGGCAATAATAGTATTTTTACAAATGTGCAGCTCTGATGTCAACACAGAATTGACCACAACAGAACTAAACACACACACACACACACACACACACACACACACACACACACACAGGAACTGTGGCCTCCTGCCATACACACACACACACAGCGCTGAATGAGAGCTTTGTGTGGCGCTGATGAAGACATTCAGAACTTCTGGAAAACAAACCCTGTTTACATCATTCCTGGCGCTCCGGACGCTGCGTCCAGCATTCAGACGTGTGTGTGTGTGTGTGTGTGATTGGTCTCACCTGACGGATCTCTCCGGAACAGTGTGTTCATGACGGTGGCGTGGATCTTCACTCTGTCCCGCTCGCGCTCCATCAGACCTGCCGACACGAAACACTCCACCAGCCTGTCTGAGATCTGCTGAAGCCTACACACACACATACACACACACACACGCACACATATTTTACAAAACATGTATATACACACAAACACGCAAACATACACTTACATACACAGACATTCAAAGCTACAAACACACACACAGTACATGCACACAGGCATAAACACACATCACACATACATAAATAAACACATATGGGAACAAACAAACATGTGCGCACACACACACACACACACACAGGCATAAACACATGTAGATAAACACATACACCCACAAACAATCAAACAAACGTGCACGTGCACGTGCACACACACACACACACAAACAACAAACACACACATGCATGCAAACATACAAGCACAAGTGCGCACACACATACACACACACACAC